TCTTCCCAGCCTGGGGGACCCACCTGCCTCTCTCCGCCCGGCCAGCCCGTTCTCTGTGACAGCAGAAGGGATGCGCCCAGGCCCCGTGGCCTGAGAACAGCAGAAGGAAGGGCAGCCAAGGCTGGGGCTGCCCAGGCCCTGAGGTCTCCCCCCGCGATGTGAGGAGCTGGAAGAGCGAGGCTGCGGTTCTGTCTTTAGGGCCAAAGCATGTCGCCAGCTCCAGGGCCTCCCTCCTCAGCCCAGCCCGCCCTCTGGGCGCTGAAGGCCTGCAGGGAACTGCCCGGGGCCAGCAGACAGGCCAGAGCGAGATCCACACGTGGAGTCCTGCCCTCCCTCCAGACTCCCCTGGCTGGGACCGAGGGTCACCAGGCGAGGAGGGGTGGGCAGCAGGCAGACCACGGCCTCCCTGATTCCCTGCCAACCTGGGTGCCCCACAAAGTTCTAGACAGATCTCAGGCAGCATCCCCGGCACAGGGGTCCTCACCCTGTCCTTCTGGAACAAGCCATGCTTCCAGATCCTTCCCACAGAGATGGGGAAACCAAGGCTCAGGATGGACACATCCCGGGATGAGGGATGGTAGCACGGCAATCCTCCCTAAGCCCTCTCATCTCTACTTCCCCGGGCGGGCAGTACAGACTGGAGGGGGTCCCACCCCCATGGCTGGGCCCTGCGCCCCGTGTAGGGGACACTCGGGATCTCCGGGGGCCTCACCCTGCGATCGCATGGAGCTCCCACAGCCACTCGTGCAGTAGATTCACTTAGAGACGGGCACACGGGCTAAGGGAGGCAAGCCCCCGCCCACCTGTGAATGGCTACAGCGGGTCTCAGGTGTGAGGTGCCACCTGGAGCAGCGCCAGCTTGCCCGTTCCCAAGGCTGCACCACGGAGGCAGGAAGACACTGCCCTGGCCTGTGTCCACATCACCACTGGGCAGGGGCAGGGGACCTGTCACTCACTGCGCACACCCACACCACTCAGCCTCTCCTAGCTGCAAGAGAAGCATGCAGCACATCCCAGCACAGGACCACCCTGCAGGGGCAGTGGCACAAGTGTGGAGTCACCACTTGGCAAGAAGTGCCTGGCTGTGGACAGCCCGTGGCCCTACTGCACGGGGCACGCTCAGCTCTGCCAGCCTCGTGCCTCGGACCGGCCCATGGGGGCCAATGAGCTTTGGTCATGCGGATGTGCATGGATTTCCAGGGGTGGGCGGGGCTTTTGCTGGAGTTAAGGCCCTGATGACAGTGGTGAGCGCCCCTAGGCAAGGCGCTGGGGATCTGCCTGTCCGTATTCCTTCTGTGGGTGCAGCCAGCACCTGCTGCTCCCAGCCCGGCCATCAGTCTGCCTCCCAGGCCATTTGTCCACGATAGAAAGGACAACCGAGCCCAAGGAGGGCCTCACTGAGTCCCTCGGGGGCCAGGGAGGCTTCGGCAAGATGGGGGAGATGCTCCCACCCACCTCCAGGCTGAAAAGCAGCAGGGGACCTTCCAGGTGGAACAGCACAGGCAAAGGCTCAGAGGTGGGACGCTGCATGGATGTATTTTCTTGATCAAATTGGAAGGTCACTAGGCCACACAGGTGGACTGCTTTATGTTGTCAGACCGAGTGGTCATGTAGAACTTGCCAGAGAAAGTATCTCCAAGACGGCGGCCACAAAAGATAGCCCTTAGTGTCCAAGAGTACCGCGTGACAACAAGCTTACAGGTTGTCATTATTAATGATAGCAAGGGCTCAGCACCACCGCCCCTCACTAGAAGCTGCTGGTGCCCACGCACCCCGACCGGCTTTCAGGGATCCTTACAAAGCCCCTGCGGGTGACACCTGCCCCTGCTGTGTGTGCCTAGCCGGACCACCGCCAGGCGTTTGGGGGACAGACTGCTGACGGTGAGCACAGAAGGGAGATCAAGTGGGAACTCTGAGACAGCAGTCAGCTCTGGCTGACTGAGGAGACCTGGTGTCCAGGGCCGGGCACCGCTGCTGCTGCAGCATCGGGGGGCATCTCTCACAGGGGAGGATGTTGCACATGACACGTTGATCCACAAGGAGAGGCCGTCGCGGAGGTCTCCGGACAAACAACCATATCGAACGCATCGCTCATGGCCAATGTGTTCTTGCCTGAAACTCAACCTGAGGGAGCCAGAAGCGGCCCGACTCTTCCAAATGGCAAATGGCAATGTCGTCAACACAAAAGTGTGAGGGAGAACATCCCAGACGGGGCGGGGCTGCGTCAACACAATGTACCAGCCCTTCTCGGATGGTCTCAGATTAACCTACAATTCTGCAGGACGTTTTGGGGGACAACTGAGGCAACGTACACATGGGTTATATTTTAGATAATAAATGCTATTGTGTGAAATGTAAGTTTTTAGGGGGATACCGGCACTGTTATCTGAGAGGAGGCTCTTGTTCCTGCGAGACCAGTTTTTTCTTTGGCGGCACCACCTGAAGGTGCATGCATCCCTTCACCCTCCAAATTCCTGAGTGTGCGTGGGGGGCGGGGCGGCAGGAGAGGAGGCAGCCACTGAGGCGGAGTGCCGGAGGCTGGGGAGTCGGGCGAGAGGCCACAGGAGGCCCTCCTACCACTCGCTCCACTTCTCTGTAAATCTGGAATTTGCAAAATAGAAATTTGGGGGGGGGACATCATGGTAATAGATGTCTTCTTCTTTTTTTGTTGCCTCTACCAAGGTGAGGTCGAGAAAGAACCCCAGGAAATGGACTTCTGCCCAGGGCTCTGGTTCTCGTGAGGAGGCCATTGTTGGTGGTGACACTGTTCCCGCTCCCTCTCCCCAGCTCCCAGGACCGGCCAAGTCAAATGACTCTGGGTTCTCTTTTTTTGGTGGCTCAACCTTCAAGTGTGGCCGCTGACCGAACATCCAGGCCGAGTCCTGATGGGCCCATGCACACACACACACACACACACACACACACACACACCCAGGGCCACGCTGACCCAGATTTTCAGGAGAAATGCTACCTCCTGCCCACAGCCGCCAGCACAGCTCAGAGGCTCTGCGAACGGGAGTGGACGGCCTTGCCCTGCGGCCCCTGCAGCCGGCGCTCTCTCCCGGGAGCGGGGAGGGAAGGTCAAAAAGAGCAACTGTCTCTACTCTGCAAGGCTTTAGAGCCCTAACGGTTTTTAAAAAAATCTTAGACACAAAAGAATAGAGACAGACCCTGGAGACAGATCTGTCCCCTTAGGCCCAGAGCGTCTGAGATCCTTCCCAGGTCCTGTGCCCTGCACAAGGGGCCGTGTTTAACAGGGATGGAACATGGATGTGACATGGATGTAGCATGGAGTGCGTGCCTGTTCAGAGGGGTCTTGTGTGCTGGGTGTCAGTGCTATGGGCCAAAGGCTTGGACTGGCGGCATTTGGTTCCTTTCAGAAACCGTGTCGTTTCCTCTTCCCAGGATCCCGCCGGGGCTCCCGGCACCTACCGCGCAATCCAGCCAAAGCCCATTTGCGCCCAGAGCCGAAGGAGCAGGAGGCGGTGACTGTGGGAATGGCAGGGCTGGCGTGGCTGTCCTTGGAAGGGCCTCCAGGGGCCATCGGCGCCTAGCTGTCCTCTGAGGTCGCCCCCTAGTGAGAGTGGGAGGAATTTCCCCTCTCGGAAAAGTTGTCCCCTGAGATTGATGAGCCCCCAGCAGGCCAAGACGCGGCTCCCTGCCTCTCCGCCTTCCTGAGACCAACACGAATGCCCCCGTATTTACAATCAGACGCAGTTAGAGACAGGCTTTCCTGGAGTACATATACATAGAGAGAGGTTTGTTAACGAGGAATGCCCTGTCTTTTTGTTCTTAATTAGGAAAAGAACCCACATTGACCTACTGATACCCACTCACACCCACGCACCCCACACTGTGACCCTCACTCATTCAGGTGGCTGCTGCACCAATGGCCATGCCCACCACCATCAGAGAAATAAGAGGGAAGTAGTGGTCTACCCTCCCAGCTCCCGGATTATCCGGACGCTTCCAGTCGCATGGTAAACTGTTAGAACTGGAGATGATAAAACTAAACATGTCTGTAATAAAGTAATAGTACTATTGGCTTCGGATGGTCCCACCGATAGCTTTTCCTTGTGTTGAGAATGCATACCAGTTTAACAGAGTACATGCTTTAAAAAAATGTTTTTAACTGGCAAGCTAAAATGATCCATGTCGCCTTGCCCACCCCACCCGCCCCCTAGAAATAAGTTAATATAATTTAGAACCTAGCATTTTAAAAGTATGGGCATGACGCATCGGGGAGAAAGGCTGCTCGCGGAACATGCTCGACTTGGCAAGATGATAAATCAAAATCTCGTGGGTTTTGTTTTCCTGGGTTGTTTGGAAGCAGCCAGAAGCAGGCTATTAACAAAACTGTAGGATGGAGAAAAGAAATGAATACCTGTGCTTTCCTCCACGTCGCATGGCGCCCGCTCATGCACACGCACACGCACACACACACAGCCACAGAGGCACACACACACAGGCACACACACACCTACACACAGCCACCCACTCCCTGGAGAGGGAAGAGGCGCCAGTCAGGGATGCCCTGGGGGTGGGCGCTAAGGCTCCGCCTGGCGTGCAGCTCTGGGCTGGGTATCGTCTCAGCTGTGTCCCGTGGTCTCAGTGTCACACTGTCCGGGGGAGGCCACCCCGCGAGGGGCCGGCCGGGGGGAGATGTAAGGCATGTGTCGCTGGTGAGGAAGGAGGAGGAAGAAGAACCCCATGCTTCATGCTCAGATGCGCGTTTCAGAGGAGGCCTGGGCGGGCTCCGTCCGGCTGGAAAGGGGGCCAAGAGAGGAAACCAAGAAGGAAGGACAGGAAGGAATGACGGTGACAGGACACCTCTGACGGAGAAAGGGTAATAAATAAACAAGCGAGGAAAGACGTGGGGCCCGGCTGGCATGGCTCCGGGGCTGAGAGTTAACCTATGACCCAGGAGGTCAGGGTTCGATTCCCGGTCAGGGCACAGGCCCCCACAGGGTTGCGGGCTCCATCCCCAGTGGGGGGGCGTGCAGGAGGCAGCCAATCCATGCTTCTCTCTCATCATGGATGTTTCCATCTCTCTCTCCCTCTCCCTTCCTCTCTGAAATCAGTAAAAATAAAAATAAAAAGTTAACAAAAAGCAAGACGAGTGGGGCCAATGGAACGTGACGTGACAGGTGACGGTTTCTGCCGCGGCCCTCCCCGCCCCCGCCCGCCCCTAGATGGACCTCCGCCGGCGCATGAGCCTGTGCACGTCCGTGAAGCTGTGCAGCCCCGGCGAGACGGAGCTGATGGGCGACGGGAAGAGGCTGTTCTTCAGTGTGCTCGGGGAGATCTCCTCGATCTTGTAGGAGACGGAGTGGAAGTACTGCGGGCCGAGCTGGGCGCCGAAGGAGTTCTGGTGTCCCGTGGGGCGGCCCCCCGCGCGGCCCTGTGGCCGGTAGCAGGAGCAGGAGCACACGGACTGCAGGTCCCCGTCCGCCTTGCAGCGCGCCCGGCCCCGCAGCGCCTCCTCGGGCGCGTGGATGGCCGTGCTGTTCCGGGCCCCGGCCAGCGACGCCCGCTCCTCGGCGTCCCTCCGCTCGTCCTCGCTGTTCATGGTCAGGAACCGGAGGACCACCAGGTTGAGGAAGGCCCCGATGACCGTCAGCCCCACCAGGATGTACATGAAGCTGAAGGCCACGTACAGCGGCTTCTTCTGCAGGGCGCCCTTCGTCTGCAGCGCCACGTAGTCCCCAAAGCCGATGGTGGTGAGCGTGATGAAGCAGTAGTAGTAGGCGTGGAAGAAGCTCCAGTCCTCGCACTGCGAGAAGGCGGCCGCGCCGATGCACAGCGTCCCCATGCAGGAGAAGAAGCCCACCGTCACCATGTTCTCCATGGACACGTCGGTGTTGCGCATCCCGCAGCACTTCTTGATGCGCTTCAGCAGGTAGCGCACGAAGGTGTTCATCCGCTCGCCCAGGCTCTGGAACATGACCAGCGTCAGCGGGATGCCCAGCACCGCGTAGAACATGCAGAAGGCCTTGCCCGCGTCCGTGCCGGGGGCCGCGTGCCCGTAACCTGGAAGGGGAGAGAGCACAGGGAGAGCCAGTGACCGGAGGGCCCGTGAGGTTGGACGGGGAGGGGAGTCAGGCTTGGGGGCATTTCAATGGGGAGGGGCTGGAGAGTTTCCCTGGGAGGTTGGGATGGGGGGGGGGGGGGCGGGGGGACAGGGGGGGTTAGGGTTAGAGAGGAAGAGAGACAACCAATGCAGACAAGTAGGGGGGACCTGGGTGGTTTCCTTGGGATGAGTTTGGAATCTGCCCAGAAGGGAGGGGAGAGGAGAGTGGGAGGAATCGGTGGAGAAATGTCCTTTGAAGCCTGGGGGTGGGGGGAGGTGGTGATCTGTAGCATTTCCGTTGGGAGAGGAAGAAGAGTTTGGGAGCCATTTCACGGTTCTTCTTAGAGCAACACAAAATTTTTAAAAAAAGAAAAACAGCCCATTTGCTACAAAGAAAACTGCAAAGGCACCAAGCCCGACGAAGAAGACCAAACATGCCCCCCGTGGGCCAGCACAGACGGTGAACGGCCAGCACGGACAGTGGCCAGCCAAGGACGCTGCACGTTGCAGGCCAGCTCGGTGCTCACTCCTGTCGCCGCCGCCTCTTTATTAAAGGGAGAGCCAATGGAAGATGTGCCAGTGGAAAGCACCCAATCTGAAGAGCAGAGAGGAACGCAGATAAAAATAAACACGCAAAGCTTCCGACAGTTGAGGGCAATCACGCAAGGCTTCGTAGAAGGGAAATCGAGACCAAGACCAGAAAGTCAGGATCGAGCCAAATTTGGTAACGGACACAAGTGTACAGATTCCAGAAGCTGCGCGAACCCCACGCAGGATAAACACGAAGAAAGCCACACGTCTGAGTGAAACTGCCGAAAACCAAAGACAGAACATCTTGAAAGCAGCCAGAGAGAGACAATGTGTCACATACAGGGACGCAGCTGTGTGAGTTCTGCTTACTTCCCATCCTAAACAGTGGAGGCCAGGAAACAGTGGAATCGCACCTTCAAAGAGCTTTCTGAAAAAGGCTGCTAACCCAGAATTGTCTATGCAGAGAAAATATCCTTTAAGAATGAAGGCAAAATACATTTTCAGATTAAGGAGAATTTGCTAACAGCCAATCTGCATGGCATGACTTCCAAAGGAAGTTCTGCCCTCACTGGTGTGGCTCAGTGGACAGAGCGTCGGCCCGTGGACTGAAAGGTCCCGGGTTCGATTCCAGTCAAGGGCACATGCCTGGGTTGCAGGTTCAATCCCCAGTGTGGGGCGTGCAGGAGGCAGCCAATCAATGATTCTCTCTCATCATTGATGTTTCTATCTCTCTCCTCCCTCTCCCTTCCTCTCTGAAATCAATAAAAATATATTTTAAAAATAAAGGAAGTTCTTCTGCCTGGAAGGAAAAGATGCCAGATGGAGCCTTTGGGTTCAGGAGCATGAAACACCTGGGTAAGCACGGGGGTTTATATTGCTCACGGGATCTGCCGAGACTGCGCCGAGAGCCACGTGCACATCCGACATTCACAGGCACCTGCCTGGAACACGGAGGCAGCCCGGGTCCCTCCCGCAGAGCCCGGGGGCTCACTGGAGCTGCGTGAACGAGGCGCAGGTGGAGTAGAGCCGCGACGCGTGCACGGGACATGGAGGCACCGGACACACACAGCCTCCTTCCGCTGCCTCTGGCCAGACCCTCCTGAGCTGCTGCGATGCCCCCTCGGGCGGCGAGCCCCCGGCTGTGAACTCCCACTGGGGCTGCTGCACGTTTGTGGACATGACTACCCTGGCACCCGGCCAGCGGGTGTGAGTCCTGAGTCCCACAGGGACCCTGCCCGGTCTTCCCTCCCCAGGCCTCCCCATCTTCTGCCAGTTTCACTGCAGCCTGGCTCCCCGCTCCGCAAGTGGAAGCAGCTGGAAGGCCAGGTGCAGGTGTGGGTGGCAGGTAGGGCAGAAGCTGGCCAGGAGTCCAACAGGCACCAATCGCATTAAGGGGTGACTCAGGGTGGCGCTGGGGAGGGAGGTGGGAGGAGAGCTGCCCCAGCCCCCAGGCTTCCTGGCCGGCTCCCACTTCAGCCTGCGGTCAGCCCCCGGCTCGCCCTTCCCCCAGGAGGAGGGGGTCCGGAAGGGAGGCAGCTGAGGGCTTTGGGAAGCGCCGTACCTGCAGGCGGTTCCCAGTGCAGAGCCGGCTCCACACGTTCCGGGAACTACCTCCCAGGCACCTGGCAGCTGTGTTGTTGCTGGTCCTGGGGTTCGCCCCCTCCGCTCCCCTCCCCTCCCCCCGCCCCATCGGGCCCTTTCAGATTCCGGAGGAGCAGAGCGACACGCGATTATTAAGACTCAGGTGTGCCCGGCCAGCGCGGCTCAGTGGTTGGGCATCGACCTATGAACCAGGAGGTTACAGTTCGATTCCCGGTCAGGGCGCATGCCCAGGTTGTGGGCTCGATCCCCAGCAGGAGGCGTGCAGGAGGCAGCGATCCATGATGCGCTCTCACCATTGATGTTTCTCTCTCTCTCCCTCTCCCTTCCTCTCTCTGAAATCAATAAAAATACATTTTTTTTTAAAAAGAGAGTCGGGTGAAGGTGACCACGCGCTCCTGCATTCGCTCTTTCATCTGAAACGGGTGCCCGGTTCGGCCGCCCTGGCCCGCGTCCCCTCCTGCCATAGGACGCCCCTGAGCTCCGCGCCCCAGCACCAGGGCCTGGGCTCCGCGCCCTCCGGGCAGCTGCCTCCTGCGGCTCTGACTGGGCCGCCAGCCCAGCCCTGAGCCACTGGGCTGTGGGCTTTCCTGCGGGAGCTAAAGGGACCCGGAGTGCGATGGCCGGCGCCCTGAGTCAGCCAGCACCCCGAGGAGGGCCCCCCACAGGGAGCACGTCCTGAGGTGGGGACGTTCCACCCCGTGTCTGAGCCCCCCGAGCCAGCCCCTCGCAGGCTTCCGGATGGTCTCCCACGGAATCTTCTGGCTTCAGCCAGTGTTTGGATTGCACTTGATGAAGGCTCAGCCTGCCCTACGCCTCGGCGTGACGACGAAGAATGAGCAGCCGTCTGTGTGGGTAACAGAGCACTGCGCAGCGCAAACACCCTGCACCCAACTCGGTCTCTCACAGGAGCCACCCTGGCCTGTCCGCGGGGCGAGGGGACCCCGCAGGTGCGGGGAGCAGGGTGTGGGCAGACGGAGGCCGGGGCTGGGGGGTTGGGGGGGCGGGGCAGGCAACCTGATTTCAAAAGAGAAGCTGGGAATGTGGAGTTTTGAAAATGTGGGATCTAATTGGTGTCTAATTAAACATTTTTACATGTGGCACAGGCCAAACAAAACAAGACAAAACAGACCATCTGTTTGTCTCAAGCAGAGGCATCCTGAAATGGCAGGAAGGGAAAGGAGAGAACAGGAGGGGCTGGAGGGAAGGAAGGGGTGCAGCAGCGTGGGGCTCCCCACCACCCAGCCCCCTTTCGCCTTCCCTCCGTCACTGAACCCACAGTTGGTTCCATTTCACAGATGCACAAACCAAGGCAACAAGAGGTGACATGACCCGCTGACCGCCTCCCCCAGCAGCGGAGGTCCTCCTGCCCACCCCCCCAAAACCGAGGAGGGCCACGCTCAGGGGGCAGGGCCGTTCTGGGTAGACTGAGGCCCCTTCCCACAATCCCCGACGGGAACTCCACCCACAGGATGTGTGAGCCCATCTCACAGGGGAGAGCACGCCCAGGGGGGCAGGGCCGTTCTGGGTAGACTGAGGCCCCTTCCCACAATCCCCGACGGGAACTCCACCCACAGGATGTGTGAGCCCATCTCACAGGGGAGAACGCTGAGGCTCCAGCCCTCGGCCCTGCGTGCAGCCACCGGAGGGTGCAGATGCCGGCAGGAGTGTGGGGAAGAGCCTGGCCCAGGGCCTCCCTGCTGAGCCCTCTGAGCAGCAGGTGGGGGTGGAGGGCCAGCCCATTTCCTCCTCCGGGAGCTGGTGAAGGGCCCCATCTCTCACGGCTGCCGGCTGCTGGGGCTCTAAGGAGGCATCCACCAGGGTCAGCTCTCCCTGAGTGAGACAGCCAGCAGGCGCTGGGCATCCAGACACAGCCCTTCCCAGCACCACCCCCCCGCCCCCCATCAACCTCTGAGGCTGGGAACCACGGAAGCATGGAGCCATGCCCTTGGAAATCCTCCATCCACCAAATAAACTTGCTTTGCTGAGGCTCATCCGTGTGGCCAATAAAGAGTTGAATGGGCGGAAATGATGGTTCGAGCCCACAGGCCCGCTGGCTCAAGCGCCTCCTGCCAGGGGAGCCGGGGACGGGAGATGCAAGGGCGCCCTCTGGCGGGAGCTCGGGGGACTGCGGACACACCGGGGCTGCCGCAGCACCGCCCACAGCCCACCCTTCCCCTGGGACCGCATCCAACCAGGGGAAGAGCCATTCATCCTTCCCGGAGACAACGTGCTAAGTGGCAAGTTCCCCCCAGAAGTCAGCATCCATCCACGGCCGCCCTGGCCAAATACCCCCATAACAACAACAAGATGGTGGTGGTGGTGGTGGTGGCCGCAAACAGTCGTGAGGGACGAGCTACAATGCTGGGCTCCGGGGGTCACTTACTCCCAGGGGGGAGGGACGCCCTGTGCGTGGTGAGCGCTGTTACCTCCGTGGCCTGGATGAGAAACGGGGCAAACTATGGTCTCTGTGGGCCCCACGGGAGACTCCTTGGGCTCCAGCTCTGTCCCTGCTGTCCGCCCGCCTGGGGGCCCTGCAGCCGAGGTTTGTGGGGGACCCTGACGGAAGCCTGTGTCTCCTCTGGTCTCCACCACCACCCCCCATAAATCCCCCTCTCTCTTCCTCTCTTTCCTTCCCTCCACTCATGGTGCATGCCCCGCAAAAGAAACTACAAGGAAATGTGGGGAAGCACATCTGAGTCGGAAAATGAAGTCCGTGGAATTATGTAAGACCTGGCTGACTGCTGAGAAGTGTGCAGAATGAGGAGCCTTAAGTCCAGCTTCGCAGCAGGGCCCACTCAGGCACAATGGATCCTTCTGGTAACAGAGG